TTTTTTAAAGTTTTTAATGCTGCAGCTATGTGTACAGTCGCAAAAAATTTCCCCGCTGCGACCTACAACTAAAAAATAAAAATAAAATAAACGAAACAAAAACAAAAAACAAACAAAAAAGCTACCATACAGTTTCATCTCAGTAACACATGGTAAAATAACATCTTTTAAATAGTAAAATAAAGTAACAAACTTTACTCATAATGATTCCAAAAATCTACAAAGAAGAAATATTCAGAATCTGACAATTTTTTTTTTTGTAATATTCATGGTATAAAAGGATTGCTCCTACGAAAAATAAGCCAAATATATTTTTTATTTTTAAATTTAGTTTTTTTTTTCTTACTAGGGTGTACTACAGTCTATTTTATAGCAAAAAGAGCACTAGACAAACAAAGCTTTATAACAAAAAGCCAGGCACTGATACATGGTAAATCTCTGCTTTTTTTTTTTTTTTTCTTATCTTCACTTAATTGCATCACAAGTAACAAGAATGAAAAAGGCCACAGTTCATATATTTCACCGTTACATATGTCTATAATACTTGAAATGAGGATGGCAAAACCAGCACTGCACGAAGATGAGTCCACTTCAAGTCCCATGAGAAAGAGCATGTCTCTAAAGAAAAAAACAAACAAAACCAAAGCAAAATAAAAAGAGAGAGGCCTAGCGGCCTTGGTGCCCCATCATGTTGGAATTCATCATATTCCATCTTGACATTTTTTTGTTTTGTTTTTTTGTTTTTTTGTTTCCAGTCAGCCAGCAGACTAAAATTTTGTGCTTATTTATGCTGAAAAAACGTTTCATTCCTGACTCAAGTTCACTTTTGGACACAGATCATATTCTGCCTGTTGGATCCAAGACGAAAATCCTCTTAACCCCAAGTCTTGGTACAACTCCCTCCCCAACCCCGAACCCCTCATCAAAATAAAGATCACACGTAAAAACAAAAATTAAAAAAAAACACACCAAGAAATAGGAAAAAAGCGAAAAAAAAAAAGGAATCGGAAGACTGAGTCAGAACCAGCTGCGTCACTGGGTGGACTGACAAGTTGTATAAACATTAGTGTTCCTTGCAGTTACACAGAAGACAAATGGTAAACTTTCTAGATGCACAGATCCCTATTCTGCATATTCATAAATTACTTGAATGTGGAGGTGGATCAACGGTTCCAAGTTGCTTTAATGTCCGAGTCTCTTAAACAGATCCCCAGCCCAGGTGTCATCACATATATCCTATGGACCCTTATGGCATTTTGGGTAGTTCTTTAATTCTGTCTTCTGCTAAGTTTCACTAGAAAAATCCAGCACAGGATACCAATATCTTACCTGGGTTTGATCATTTACAAAACAACGAGAGGGAAAAAAAAGAAGACACTAAGAAGAAGGCCACATTTCCTTTCATCATTTTCTTTTTTTTTTTTCTAATGGGGACGCAACCCAATTACATGGATAGGTGCTGATGTTTCTCCACCAAGCAACAAGCACGGAGCAGCTTTTGGTGGCCATGAGGAAGTTTTTCACTTCTTTCCAAAGGGAATTTGACTAGAGAGGTATTGCATTACTGAGTAATGAATACCTCAAAGCTGGTGAACGATAAAATTGCAGCTTTTTTTCCTCTGTTGGAAGTGAGAACAAAATATAAAGCACCCATTTAAAAAATAATCAAATAACTACACTTTAGTTGTTTTTTTTCTCTGTTTACAGGTGTGAAAGCCTTTAAAAATCAGCTCTATGAAGCACCTCTATGATAACGTGTTATCAACAGTGCCATTCTTAAAATGTATAATACATGAACACCGGGAGTGCTTCCAGTTCCCGAAAGAGTAAACACCGTATTTTCTTCTGTACACGTATCCTGAATGTGATCCAAGTAGACCTGCTTCCTATACATTGTTCCTAGGGATACCCGCCTTGGTAGACTATACAAAGTGATAGAATGTAACACTAAAGGAAATCTTTACATACCGAGGGGACACAGACACATGGTTTCCATTATTTCAGAGGAGGGGAGCGGACACAGCACTGTCTTCCGTGCCCTCTTGCAGTCCCTTTGTTCATATATTTCGCAGGAAAGCCTCCACATAACTTTTCATGAACTTTGATCTCTGCTATTCTCCTAAGGTTTTAATCCACCTCCACATTTTAGGAACTTATCAACAAAATCAAACTATTTTCGTTTTATCGCTACTGAACATATTTACAGTTTTCAGCACACACTCACACACACTCACACACACACACACACACACACACACACACACACACGCACCCAGCTAATCAAAATGTTTATGGGTTTGTAAAAGATGACCACGTGGTAACTACCTTATTTGTTCTTACATTTTCAGAAATGAACATAAAATTCAGATTCTTGTAGCTCATTGTTTCATTTAAATGAGACGCTTTTAAACCACACAGTTAAAAAAACAAAAACAGAAAACAAAAACCAATACAATGTATTAAAACACATAATAAGAGTCTACATGTAAAAATATAACTTTTACATACAGAATTTCAAAATAATGATACGTTTGCCGTTTGTTGCATAAAATTTACAAATGTATTTCATTACTATATAACTGGCAAAACAGGAGAACAGATGGAACATTTAGACCATTTTGATGGATTTATGGCATTTACTCAGTGCTGATAGGTGGAAAAAACTACTTGAACAGGGATTTTTTTTTTTTTTTCTTAATACATGCCAAGATTGTGTGGCTGTAAAAATAGAAACGAGTTAGAGACAAAAGGATGCTGACAAATACTTAACTAGGAGCACTATTTGTTTACTGCACTATTACACCAAACTCAATCGTTATAAAGATTCACGTTGGAAGTTGGTTCAATTGTGCCCAGACGTCAAAGCTAGCTATCTGATGAGTTGCTGTGCCATAGTTTGATCTATGTTTCTATCAAATATGTTAGGTATAAACTTCATTCATACTGGCCAGAGAAATACTGCACTACCCCTCCTCAAGAAAGTGCAACTTAATGCTTTAGGACTTATAAGGCTTGTTATAATGCTGCATGATGATTGAATATTGGCATTTTTTTCCCTTCAGATGGAGGAGGCAGTTCTATCATCTACATCTTAGTAAACCCATTTTGAAATTAAAAAAAAAAAATCAAGAAAGCAACAAAAATCAATCAGCTCTGTCACACTACTTGCAATTTTCTCATTTGATGGTTTTTGAAACTTTTTTTGTTTTTGTTTTTTTCCAAAAATCTGACCATGTATTCAGAAACGCCTCACTGCACACTACTTCGGCTACACATGTAGGTAACACTTTAATCATTTTTGTTAAATCACAGCCACTTTGATTATGTTATGTTTCCGATGATATAAACATTGGAAGGCACAGTGGTAACATTGTAGCATTCTAACCTTGTACCTCTGAAAACCCCCAGAAAAGGGTCACACACGCAGCACTACAATTCAGACAAACTCCTCTTGCCATGTCTCAGTAATGCTGCTTGTAGTATCTACACGTGATGTGACTTTTAAGTCCTGTGTTCCCAAAAGACTGGAGAAACAACGCTCTACTTATTTTGTGAATGAAAAGCAACATCAGGGTCAGCGTTTCACCCTGCACTACCCCTCCGGAAGCAGAGTTGGCACTACAGGTTTACGATAACAAACCGGAAAGGGACAGAAATAAGACCAAAAAAAAAAAAAAAAAAAAAAAAATTGAAAAAAAAAAAATCCGTATTTACAGTAAAATCTTTCTTTTAAAAAAGTTAATCAGTACTATTTTTTTACAGGAGGAAAAAAGTCTGAAACAAATGAACAAAAGCTTACCATAGTCACTAAATTTTTAATATATATTTATATATATATTTATATATATATTTGTCATAGGTCTATAAGATCCATCTGTTCCTCCTACCCTAGGAATGGCTAATGTCATCACTTCGCTGTCTCAGGACGTTTGCTGGTTTTGTTATTGGGCAGCCGTGCTGCCCCCATTCGCTACCCAGGAATTAGAAACACGAGCTGACTTGAATACCAACAAAAACGTTCATGTAGTTTTCTTCAGAAGTACACTTTTTCATTATTGCAAGTTTACAATTTTTTAAATTAAATATTTTTTTTTTCAGACTTACAAATTAATTATATTTTTTTTTTCCAAAAGAAGTTTAGGCACAAATGCATTGTTCCACAGTGTGGAAGGATTGCCATTCAGTCTCTGGGCTGATCTCAGCCTGCTCACACCGCTTTGCACATTCTGAATGATATGTTAGAGAGAGTCATCCCTCAAGTTGCACTTTTTTCTTTCTTTCTTTCTTTTTTTGTTTTTTTGTTTGTTTTTCGGTTTTTTGATAATTGGGAATGCTGAAACCTCTTGCGTCTGCGATTCATAACTACTCAGACTTGTCTTATATTACAAAAAAGGGGTTAGGGAGAAGTGTTTATGTGGGTTTAAGATAATACAGCTGTTAAGGAAGTGGTCTCTTGTGTTAATGAAGCAATGTGGCAGCTTGGACCTGAGAAGGAAAAGAAGAGGGGAAATAATTAATATAGTGACACCAGTAGAAGTAAAAGTTTTATTCATAAGCTCTTTTAGCAAAGGGAAAATCTGTTGATCTGGGGAAGTGGACTGCTCTGGCCACTACTTTGGTGGGAGAAACTGGGAAGGTCAAGTGCAGGGGGAGGACCCCAGGGGAGGCTGGTGCAGGGAGCTCAGTTGGGGGACCACAGGGAGGCTGGTGCAGGGAGCTCAGTTGGGGGACCACAGGGAGGCTGGGTGCAGGGAGCTCAGTTGGAGGACCACAGGGAGGCTGGGTGCAGGGAGCTCAGTTGGAGGACCACAGGGGAGGCTGGGTGCAGGGAGCTCAGTTGGGGGGCCACAGGAAGGCTGGGTGCAGGGAACTCAGTTGGAGGACCACAGGAGAGGCTGGGTGCAGGGAGTTCAGGTTGGGGGACCACAGAGAGGCTGGGTGCAGGGAGCTCACTTGGGGGACCTCAGGGAAAGCTGGGTGCAGGGAGCTCACTTGCCCTTTCACATCTGTCCCATGTGGTTCGAAGCGTCTCCCATTCCAGGGTGAGGGCCCGCCAAGGACAGCGGGGGAGGCTCCGAGGATACCTTTTCTTCCTCCCTTCTTTTCAGACACGCAGCTTTCGGATTCAGATTCCTCTCTGTGGGAGAAGGAAGCACAAAGCCCTCAGTTCATGCCCAGGATGCTGGTAGAGGGCAATGTGTACCTTCTGAGGACCCTTTGCTGAGGTTTACAGACAGTAGGAGAGTGTGCTATAGACTCCCTCCCGCAGTCACCAGAAGTGGGTGAGCCGCGTGGTGGATCCAGAGCCCTTTATGGTATCAGAAAGCTGGTGAAGCAAACACTAAGCTTGGATGACTGACTGTACAGGGAAGCTTCACACTGCAGCCTCTGTGGTGAGAGGACCCTGTAACTTAACTGCAAGAGAAAGGGGAGCTGCCTGCTGGATGCAGTGGCGATCTGCAATGGACAGAACTATCCTGAGCTGTGCTTCTGTGTCTTCCCTGCTCCTGCGGGTCCCGCACGCTCCCTCCGGCCCCAGGAGCCGTAGCTTCTGCAAGGAGCGGCTGCCTGGCACTGACCTCGGACCTGCTGCTCCAGGCTGAGGATGACGGCCACGGCCTGGTGCAGGATCAGGAGCTTGGTCTGCGGCTTGTCACTCTTGAGGTGGAGCTGCACCATGCGGCCCAGCTCCTTGAAAGCCTCATTGATGTCGCGGACGCGCAGGCGCTCGCGGGCGTTGTTGGCCATCCTCCGCTCCTTCTCCCGCTCCGCCTTCTGCTCGGGGGTCAGGTCCTCGTCGTCGTTATTGCTGCGGGACAAAAGGGACACAGGGACATTTTCTAACGGTGTCGGGGGGAGAGGCGGTCACTCAATTACTTTTGCTTTCTTCCAGAGTTTGCGCGGAATGTTTCCATCTCAAGTTCTTGTCCTTAGCGGAGCTTTACCTGCACTCGAGCGGGCATTGCTCTGGATGGCTGTCACAGGCCCTAGACATTAAGCTCAAACGGAACAGGAGAGGTTAAAGTGAGGGCCCAGGGTGCGCCCATCCTGATGCAGGAGGGCTAGGCTGCACCCTGCAAACCGGGCCACAGTCAATGTCAGCTGAAGCCACAGCACAGGAGGGCAACCCAGAGAGAATCGTTTTAGAAGTTGTTCTTTGGTTTGTTTGTGGCTGTTGGTTTTTTTGTTGTTGTTGTTGTAACTCTCCTACCGTGACATCTGGAACTGAAGGAAAATAAGTGATTGCAAAAACAGTTTGATACATCAACATTAACGTGATGCAGCCATCAGGATTAAGAGGATGGTCCTACATTGAAGACACCAGAGCAATGGGCGGGAAGACTTTTGTCCAGGTTTCTCCATGAATTTGCTTCGAAGGTGTGGTTGTTCCACCTAATGCATCTGAGGCTCCTTGTCTCCATGCATTAAATAAAAAGGTCAGAGACACAGGATCCCCGTGGATTTAATGTGATGGGTGTTTATGATCCAAAAACAAGCGAGGGGAAACCCGAGTTGACTTGAGCTGTGTAAAACCAACAAAGCAAAACAAAACGCCAAAGATCTACCGGTTAGAGCTTCTGACTCATTGTGAGTCAAAAACGAAGCCAAAAAGCTAATCTCTGACTGTGAGAACAGAAATATTGTGTGATTCATACCAAAGGCATGGCTGGACTCTGGAGAGTCTGGGGAGGCAAGATTATTTCTGTCTGTGGGTGTCATGCTGACAAAGGAGAAGACACTTTTGAATGGAGGGCAAATGAGAGGATGAGCCATCTGGAAAGCAGAGCATAAAGAAGGAAGGTTCCATGGCATCAGGGCTTCAAGCGTTTCAGAGGCGATTATGTAAAAGAGAGGCGTGGGAGATGTCTTGCTTCAGGAAGACAGAACGGAAAAGAAGAACTTCGAGCAGGAGAGTTTGACTTAATATGAGCAAGAGTTTGGGGGCATGAGAGATATCAAAAATAAAGCAAACTTCACCGAAAGTAATAGGCTCTCCATGACAACAACAACAACAACAACAACAACAACAAAAAACAATATGGAGGTGATCAGCTATAAGGATGTTAACTTAGAGATTTAAGCATGGCTCTACAGAACCATGAAGGTTCAGCTCTATTTTAAAATTCCACGCATCTGAAATGTTCCTAGAAACAGTGTTCATCACAGCACCTCAGAGCTGGCGGACACGTGGGAAGCTATCTAGTCAATGTGATGTACACTGAATGAAGTCTGCTTATACTGCATGGCTCTAACTCTTCCACTTCGGAGAATCTCTGGATAACTTCCAGAGGGCAATAAGGATCAACTATGGCTTACAAGCCCCAATCGATCAAAAATGGAAGTGATATTCCTGGGTTGCAAGCGCATGCTGCGCATAAAGGCGGCCATGTAAGCTCAGAAGACTTGTAAGGGAGCATAGGAGGGAGGCACCAGAGAAAGATGTTGTAAGACTTGGCTCATCTCCCCAGAGGTTACACGCTCCTGCAGATGGGACCGTCTGCCGTGGATGTGTGCTAGTGAACACACGACTGGACTGAACCAGTCGGAAAAGGCTCTGCCATGTGATCCTCCGTCTTCGCTGCTGTGCCTTCTCTCCCTTACCCTTGACCTCTACGGTTGCCAAGGAAATCAAGCTGCCTATTCATTCACATCCACATTCCACTACACAAATAGGATGTCATAAGTGAAAGGAGAGCATAGTCAAGTTGTCCTGAAGTTAAAAATTTTGGGGTGATATTCTTATATATCAAACACATGCTATGCCTTTCGAAGGGTGGGCCTGAAAATGGGAATTGTTTTTCAAAGTTATCGGGGCTAGCAATTAATTAGAATTGGTTATGCAAATCAAACTGCCTAGATTAGGAAAGCAATGCCTTACAACACATTTTTGGAGGTTTAAGTAAATGTCACAGGAGTGACTTTTTAAAATATGCAGATTCTTAATAGCAAGTTAAAATGTTGTGCTGAAACGTCACCAGGTAAATGAAGACGCGTAAGCATGGCCGCTGTTTAAGCTCCTGAGTGCTGACTTGACTAACAGAGAAGAGGGTGAGCATGTGAAAGCCTTTCCTGGGGATTTCTCACCAGCGTGGCCAAGAGTCAGGGAACCGCAGTGATGATGAAAGGTATAAGCTAGAAGCTTTTAGGGTTTTTGAAACTTGTGATAGGGCATGTAATAAAATTTATCATAATAATTATAAAGACAATATGGCCCTAACCAATTTGGCTGAGTGGATAGAGCCTGCGGACTGAAGGGTCCCAGGTTTGATTTCGGTCAAGGGCATGTACCTTAGTTGTGGGCACATCCCCAGTAGGGGTGTGCAGGAGGCAGCTGATCAATGTTTCTATCTCATCGATGTTTCTAACCCTCTATCCCTCTCCCTTCCTCTCTGTTAAAAAATCAATAAAATATATTTTTTTAAAAAGACAATATGAAAAGATGGTGTCTTCTTGATTCCTGTAGGATACTAGATATAACCTTAAGGACAATAGCCTTTAAAGAGGGGAGTGGACTGACAGTTCTTGGGGAAAGGGGGAGTGGTGGATGCGGGAAGAGACTGAACATAAACTGTGCACCTATGGATGAGGACAATGGGGGGTGGGGAGGGGGCGGAGGGTGGGGTGGGAACCTGGTGGAGGGGGGAAGAAATGAGGAACTTTTGTAATAATATGAATAATAAATATTGATTTAAAAAATTTTTTTAAAAAAAATCTCTAAAAAAATAAATAAATAAAAGAAAGGTCTAGTTTTAGTACACTTAATTAGCAAATCAAAAATATGAGTGCCATGGCATTCAAAAACCACTGATTATCAGATTAAAGTTCCAAGGAGTTAGATCCTGTAGTTCCATTTTCTATAGGAGGGAGTATCCGGGAGAATAAAAAAAGTTAGCAATTTAGGTTTTGCTCTTACATATATATCAACATGTTTAGAATGTAGCTGGGAAATCAGTATTGTCTCATTTCTGAGATAAGAAAAACATTACAGTTGCATATACATCAATTGAGTTTTCAATATCACGAAGATCTCTTTTTAGAAGTATTTTAGAAAGAACATTTCTGACCAAATTTGTAGAATAAATATCGTCTTGAAAATCAACTCTTTGTGTTTGAATCAGTTACAAATTGTTTTTACCGCGTATAATTAGCCCTGGGTCCAAATTCATAAATGCAAAGATATGTCAGGCACCACTAGAGTACAGGTGTCTTAAAGGACACTCCAGCACCTCTAGAGCAGGCCTTTAATTTTCCTTTTAGCTATAGGTTTACCTGCCAGGAAAAAACTGAATCGTTTCTTCCTGTTCTGTTCACTTCATCAAAGTCCAATAAAGGAATTAAATGAAGCGACAGTATTATATACTGTTACCTAGATCTTGACCTAGTAATTGATTTGATATCCTTCTTGTCGTCATCTAATTTCTTGTCCTCGGAAGATTTCGTGTCCTGCAGGTTCTCGTCGCCCTCGTCATCGGATTTGATCTCAGAGCTGCCGGAGGAGACACTTTGGCCCTGCAGGCCGGGGGGCATGCCTACGGAAACAGAGAGAACAGGTGACACCTCCACCAGAGACTCCAGGCACCCACCCGCACTCCGGATTTGGAGCAGCCAGCGATGCAATTCATGCTGCTCAACTGTGACCCTTCCGTCTTTTGTGTGTGTGTGTGTGTGTGTGTGTGTGTGTGTGTGTGTGTGTGTGTGTATGTGTGTGTGTATGCAGTACCTGGTGAAGTTTCAAAACTGCACCTGTGGGGAAATAAGTTTTCTCTGCCTTGGCTCTGAGGTTAAATTCTATTTTGCAATCTTTTGGAGTAGATGGTAATTTCACTGTCTACAAAACATCAACTTAATTGCAATGAAAATCATAATCATGGAAATCATACACCTCAATGTTCTGATTAAGAACCCAAGTAAATATCAGCTATTATATTGAGTTTCTTCCATATGCAATGATTTAATAGAAAAATGTCCTTAAAATATAATTCCCAGGGAGTGTGCTAAATTTGTACAGTCAAGACTTCAATAGATATCCTAATGATATTCTGAAATTAGGCTTCTCTTATCCTCTAAGAGTAATCAGCATTTAAAAATGGTACATATGGGAAGCAGATAGCTGCTCGCTGAAGAGATTTCGATCTTTCTCGTTGCTCAACGTTCGAGACCACAACACACATTGAAACTTGACCCGAATGCAATCCCTTATGTCTAGGGTAGAAGCACGTGTATCGAGTATTGCCTTCTCTTTGTAATCTGTGGCCTAGAACCTTGTCACTCAAAATTTGGTCCATGGGCTGGGAGCATCCTTGCACCTGGGAGCCCATTAGAAATGCAGAATCCCACACCTGCAGAGTCAAATTCTGAATCTGAACAAGACCTCAAGTCATGCTTATACACATTAAAGCTGAAAAAGCGTTAATCTAGGAAAGAGAAAGAAAAACCAAAAGGCTCTTTAAAAGAATGGCCTGCCACATTCTTACTATTTAAATAAAAATGGGGCGGCCTCCCCATCTATAATTAATATTCAGGTGAGTACAATGTTTAACAGGTGAAAAACGCTCAGACGTATTCCTATGGTAGTATTATCATTCTTGTTCTAAACGTGAGGGGAATGAGATGTTATTCAAGTGTCTCCTCATCGCCTGCTCAGCCAGTTACACAGGGAGCCTGGGACCCAGGTCTGGCCCCAACAGGACAACTTCCTGGGGCCATGAAAAGCCCACTGCAGTATTATTGAGGTAATCGTCATGGGGCTAGATGACTCAATACTGAAAATTGTCCAAACAACTCCTTTATTTTTTTTTTTTAAAGATGTGCCTATATTTCCTCCAATCTTCAACAACAAAAACAGTTTCCTTCCTTCCTATTTATTTGGAAATATCATTTTCAGGCTACAACTAACCATATTAGAAGGAGCTCAATGAGTAAGATGTGGAAATAGCTAAAATAAAATTTCCTCTCATCAGTCTGTTGTCTTGGTCCCTGCTGAAACAGCACCAGGATTTCAGGGGATGTTTGAAGAAAACAGCTACTGAAGAAACACAATTAGCTGTTCTAAATACTTTCCCATTTACGTACCATTTTTGGGCCAAATTTGATTCTTGGTTTTCTGCCAGTGCTTCCTGAGGGACGAATGCCAAGTAAGCTGGGGATCAGCACTAGCTTTGCTGCTGTGTGAGGACAGAAGTGCCCCAGTGCACCTACCTCTGTACGGGTCCTGGGGCGGGTTCAAATCAGGGGAGGTGGCCGACTGGACAGGAAGCTGTGGGACTGGAACCTGGTTTGGCACAAGAGAATGGCTGCCTCTCAGGGCCACTCCGTCTTCACGATGGGCCCCGACCTGCAAGGCGAGAGGAACCATCGGGGTTAGTGGGACCAGAGGTGAGACAGTTATATAGGGGTAGCCAGGACATAAGGAAGGGAGACTGGCCTTTGCAAAACAAAACTCCCAAATGCATTTCACTAGAGGGCGCTGAAGGACCACGCATACACCTAGAGTGCCCTGCACAACCACTTAACACTCAGCAAGATGCCGAGCTGTACATCCAGTGACAAATATGGCAGAGGAGCTCAGGCAGGTAAAACGTCAAATTGTCTCCCAGGGTGCTGCAGTGGAGCGCGCTGATTCGTACCCATCTGTCTTCTATCATGTCCGCCAACAGATCTGACAATTATCTTAATGCCCATATGCTTAATTGTGGGCTTCTCAATTCCCCCATTGCTATCGGAAATCCTACAGGAATTTCAATTTGGCATTCGACTTTCATTTCAGGGGATAAGATTCTCGGGCCTGCCATTTTTTTTCCATAATGCCAGCTAAGCCCGTGACAGCGGAAACTGCGGCAGTGTGGGACGGCAGCCCCTGCTCGATAAATAGGATAAAATGTCACCTGGCTTTCCAAAACTGGCAGCCCATTCCAAATTAATGTTTACTGTATTTCATCAGCTGCCGAGTTCCAAATCCAAAGGGGGACCGTTTCTGCCAATGCCACCACACCGGAAAATGTCCCAATAAAGGTTTTATTAAACACACCAGTAATGCCATCATTGCCATGCAAAGAGTTTGGACATTGTTCCATTTTTTTTTTCTTCTTCACTAGTCTGATCCCTGGAAGACACCATATTGTAAACAGTCTTTATGCTTCCAAGAATAAAATCATAGAGTACAGCACGATGCTTCCGTCTGAAAAACCTGCTGCTGAGCTTTTTATGAACTAGTACTACCTACGCTGGCCCAGAGATGTTGAACCCCTGACACAAAGACAGCGACTGCTGACCTTGGAGGGTACACGGCCTTAAAGCAGAACATTAAGCTTTTGCAAACTCAGAGGAACCTGAGAAGTTGCATTTTCGTTTGCATTTCAAACTGGCTGTTTTCTTAGCTTGTTGATAGGTGAACATTTACACAAGACAATGAGTCTAACACTGAAAATATCTATGAATTTAGACTGCTGTAAATCAAAACTTGAATTTTTTTCTAATCCAAAATATAAAGCCACAAAGGAGAATCACTCTTTTGCTACCAAATGTTTAAGGAAATCAACAACAAGGATCTGAGCTGACAGCAGCTGCATTCCCAGAATTGAGCAGAGGCATGCTAGCTAAGGCAGCCCACTATCCAGTTCTCACCGTTATAGACATTAAAGAAGATAATTCAGGATCAGGGGAAAGGATCAATTAACTGCTCAGATTAAAAATATAGCAAGAATAGTACAGGATATAGACTCGAGAAGTATAAATGAATGTTGTGGCTAAGAGATCTGAGGAAGCCTGTGCTGTCTGCCAGCTATGTGCACAAGTCCCTTTCTGGATCGTTCCAAATGGTGATTATTTAGGTCCTATGAGTGTGCAGCAAATGCACTGAGACCCTGATGGTCTCCCACAGCAGTCCATGCCATTTTCACCCAACGTCGATCTCCTTGCACCTTCCACCGCTGACTGGTTCTAGTTTCAGCCCCTGGAGTTTATCGAGTAAGTGTAAGCTCTTCCCACATACGTAATGCCATTGCCATGCCACTCCTGTCTTTCACGTGTAACTGAAGCCTGTTCCTTTATAGGCAGACCATGCCCACAGTCCCACCAACCTTTTCTAACTCACTGTTGGGGCATGTTTTTATTTTTCCTTCCAAACAAAGACTGATAACTATTTTTCATTCAGGTTTTGATTTGCAATTTTTAAATTTGTATATTTCCCAGGTTTATTCCTTCGATGATTACCCTTTCCATCCAAGATGTCAACTTGTAAGCATGAATTTCACAGGTCTTGATCAAACTGTCATTCTTGAAGTCTGTCAATGTTAACCTAACAATTACCTTAGTGCTGACTCATATTTTTTGGTATTCCCAGTGGATTTCAGTTCTTGGACTTCCACAAAAGAGGATTTTAAGTTGGAATCATTAGGTAACCATGGATCTGAGCATAGCAGAGTGTTTTAGAATTATTCCATTAAAACTTTCAAGCCTTCTTTGTAGGCATTTATGATGTAATTTAAGGTTAATATTTTGCTTTTCACTTAAAATATATTCAGACATTGACCTTGCAATTTCTTCTTTCCCCCTCTTGGTCACACTGAGAATAGTTTTTACAAAAGGAAAAAAGAATTCACAACCAATTACCCTTCTATTTTATTTTCTTTGCCTCAACTATCATGAAAGACAGTGTAACTGAGTGAAAATAATACGATGAGAGTCTAGATTCTAAGTGTAACTGGTTTCTTTAATAGGTATATAACGATGAATAAGTTACTCAGAGCCCAAAATGGAGAAAATAATACTAGAAGTTTTAGAGAATAAGTCCCATGTTTAATGCAAGAAGAAGAGATATTTCAAACAACTGGTACACAGTGATAATAGAATATTCTGTGTTCTGAAAATATACATGGATAATATATTACCATAGGGTCTAAGTAGTTACAGAACCCTCAGAAGTCAAGCTGCCTTTATTTCCAATCATCTTTTCCTCTATTTTGTTCATATCCATTTAATTTTAAATCTCTATCCTGCACAATGATAGCAAAATCTTACATGATTATTATTATAAATATGTTTGAGACTATAGTTGTTCCAACTATGTTTTTGTTTAGATTTTAGCCATATATGTTACCTAATTTTATATATTTGCCATAGATTATTTTAGATCATCTCAAGCAATACATCAATTATTTTCCATAAAGAAAGTTGGAAGCCTTAACTTGTTTGGCACAGTGGATAGAGCATCTGCCTGCGGACTGACTGGTCCCAGGTTCGATTGTGTACCGTGGTTGTAGGCACATCCCCAGTAGGGGGCGTGAAGGAGGCAACTGATCAATGTTTCTCTCTCATTGATGTTTCTAACTCTCTAGCCTTCTCCTTTCCTCTCCGTAAAATCAATAAAATATATATTTTTAAAAAGGAAGTTGTGGACTAAGGTATCCTTACTGTTTTAAGACCTTCTTTATAAATGAGGTGTATTCCAGGCCAAAGGAAGGATGGATGATAGGTTCCGATCCAAGTGTAATGAGCTTGAGTCTCTAGGATCAAGTCCAATGCCTCTGGCTATCAGATAATATTCTAATCTGAAGAATTAGCTTTCCTTTGCATGTCTCTTTGACCCCAACAGCATCCCATTCACTTCTCGTTCAGAAACATTACTTCTGGTCTCATAAAAGACAAGGAAAGAAAGACAGTAGGTGGCCAGCACAAATCTGCCACTGCCACTAGGGTAGCTCAAAAACAGCCAGAGGAACCAATACTGGTGACAGGCCAGGGTCAGGGTCTGTCACCCTCCCACATAACATGATCATATCACTAGAAAAAGCAGATTCTTTTAAACTTACAAATAGGTTCTTGGGATGGCGCCTTTAAAAACAGAAAAGAAAATTCATACTTAATTAGAGCCCAATTTTGATAATAACCTTTTAACCTAGATAAGCCATAGTTTAACGTTAAAAGCCAGCCTATGAAAACAGTTCACTTTATTAATATTGGTTGAAAATGCTTTTGCAGTCTTTAGGAATAGCCTTCTTACTGTCACATACTATATGGTTTTAGATATATTTATGCTAAAAGTAAAAGAGAACTAAAATCTAAAACCATATGCAATCACTGTTAACTGATCCAAGTGTACATGTATTAATTCACAAATGCTTATGAATCTAGCCCATGCCTGTAATTCTGCAAGGGCCTGGGGACACACGGCAAAGACCCTGTCCTTATGAGCTCACAGTGACCTTTGTGAAACTTTGTGCCCTGAGATCACTCTAGTGAGGCAGTTTTAATAGTAAGAATCAGAGCCTTATTCAAGCTATCCCAAGATACAGCTGTCAGAAGGGAGAATGGCGGGGGTGTGGGAGGGTGGATGAAAAGTTGAAGGGGTTAAGGGAAATAAAATCCCAAACAAAGACCTCATAACAAAGGCAACAGCATGGTGATGACGAGAGGAAAGGGGGTTAGAAGACAGTATAGGGGGATAAAGAGGGACTGAAGAAGACTTGGCTTTGGGTGGTGAACACACAGTACAATATTACAGATGATGTATTATATATAGACTTGAACACTGAAACCTATATTAACCAATAAATTAAATAAAAAAAGGATTTGTCATGGAGGTTTCTGTAATTTAGGCTTTGGACCCTAGACTCACAGGACCAAAGGCCACTCCTTATGTCTCATGAGCGGGTCCAGCCTATCTCCTCCTGGCCTGGAACCTGTCTCCCTGTCCCTGCCCCTCGGATTCCAGCTGGACTCTTCCTTCTCGGTATCTTGTGGAACCTTCTTTCAGGATCCATGCACGCTGCTCACTCCCTCTGTCTTAGTATTTCTGAATTCAGAATGTCAAGATCAACTGATGGCCCAGCACAGTTTGAAGCAGATGTGGGCCATCTTTTGAATGGGCCACCCTAGGATCGGTGGTCCCATGAGTTACAAAAGAGGAAGAGGTGGCCAAGTCATGTGATCTCAACATCGCTGCCCCTTCCGCAGGCCCTGCACACCATGGCTGTTATGTGCAAATGTCTAAGTTACATTTCATCTTAGCTCAAGTCATATTCAAATTATGACACAGCTATTTAAATTCTCCTGTGCTAATTTATCATTGGGCAGAATTAGAATAACGTTAGAAGAGCATTACTTCTTTTGAGTCTGTAAGCACTATAAATGTCAAATAACCTTACTTTCTGAGGAAAAGATTGATATAGCAGAAACACTTTTAAATCATAGTATATGGAGTTTAAGGAATTGGAGACACGTGGAAACTAGTTAGGCCAAATTCCTCATTTGACAGAGAAGAAAGCTAAGGCTGCAAGTGTGACTAAGTGACTGAGTGAACATCCAGTTAGAGGGCTGAAACACATTTTAAACTCA